CACATCCACAGAGTCCAGATCCAGGCCACAGTATGAGGTCAGGCAAGCATTGCTCAGCAGCAGTTCCTGGATCCGCTGCAGCATATGGCTTCTAGAAGGACACAGCAGCTGGTCAGGTGAAACCAATCACAACTGAGGTCCTCCCAGCCCCCAAGGCCATCATTGAGATGGTGAGATGCCAGTGCAGAGCAGACTGTTCAATATCTCGATGCTCTTGCAGGTCCAATAACTTATCATGCACAGACCTCTGCCAGTGCAGCACTCAGTGCTAGAATGATGAGGGCTCTAGGAATGACATGTTGCCGACCAGTGACAGTGACGATGATGATGTGTAAAGATTCTGCTATATATAAAAGATTTTGCTATATCACACTTATTTTGTCATGTTATTATGATATTGAAGTTTAGTTGTGCAAGAAGCTGCCTAGACATGCTAGAGGTTTGACTTGCTACATGTAGAAGTTCTGATCAGCCATTTAGAACATTTATTATAATAAAATAAATATGATAATCTGCTTTGTGGTTATGTTTAGCTTATTTTACTTTGTACCACTGGCTTCCTCGCCCCTGAAAATGTATGAGAAACACCTATTTTGAAAGCGGCCATTTTGAAAATCCAAGATAGCCGCCTTGCATGCTTCCGGCAAATTGTAAACATTGGTTTTATGATTGCCTATACTATACAGATTCCAAAAATGTATAGGTTTCCAAATCCCCCCAAAAAGTTAACGAAATTATACACAATGAACTTCACTAGTACCGAAATATAAATAATGAGGCCTATGTGTATCGCAAGCTGTATCAGATTCAATAATTGTGAACCTACGTGAGTTTGTGGGTGACGTGACGTCACCGGCGCTCTTAACCGGGGGAGTTGTTTAAAACAGTTTAATCTGAATTAATCCTAGCCTTAGTACTAGTAATTAACGTACCTATACTAGCAGCAGCAGCAGTAACATCAGCAGCAGCAATCTCAGGTAAGCCATGTCACAACTGTGGTCACGATAAGCACACTAACGGCACATTGTCCTGCTGTTGGTCAGACATGCCGATTCTGCCAAAAAGTGGGTCATTACTCACGTGTATGTAAATCTAAAATGAAAAAACATGTTCGCGCTGTCGACGAGGCAGAACCAGGTCTAGATCCCGATGAGTTCAACATAGACAGTGTCCACAGTGTTGATGCTATCAACAAGGCAGTCGCCGATCTCTCAACCCCATCGGGTCACGTGATTTCCGTCAAAGTTGACACTGGAGCTGAGGCCAACGTGTTACTATTACATAAATACCACTAATGCTATATCGAATTCTTGAATATAATAATTCAAAAATTTGAATGCTAATAATCATCATGTAATTACACAGATATACGTATGAAACAACCCAATCAATCAGGCGAGCTGACATAAAAGTTGCCTACATCGCTGATTGGTCAGTTACTAGAGGGCACCTGTCACAGATGCGATGAGACGTAGACGTAGCAACCATAGCAAATAAATGTAAACAGAAATATCATAAATAGTTATGACTATCGTGAGTCTAGAATCTCGTCACATTTGCAGAACAACTTACTTCACAAGTTCTAAAAATCAGTTTAGTCATGCGATTTTATGTTTCCAACGTTAGCACCAGTCTTATACGTACACGCCTCTACGCCCTGGGCTATCATGGGCGGATCCAGAGCTGAGACTAGACAGTATTTTTTCAGATTTTAAGGACACATTCCCCAAAAAGGGCACACCACCCCACAGTGAGCGCC